GTTAAGAGAAAACACATCTCTGCTGTCGGCCACAAATTTAATCTGATCCCTGACTTCCCTTCAAGATGTCCACAGCAGAGCCCCAGTGGTGGCCAATGGGGCTGTGAGTTGCTGCCAAACCCACACCTCATCTCTGCAGCAGATCCCTCACTTCGCTCCTGGCAGATCCTTACCACGTGGCCAGAAGGACATCAGCACCTGAGGGGGAGTCCTGTTCTGCTCAAAACACCCCAGTGCAGGACACCATCAGTGCAAGGAGTCCTTGAGCAGCAATCAGGCAATCCCCCATTCCACCCTACGCACAGTCCCCAATCTACCCCTAATTACAGGCACCACCTGCAGAGAGAGAGAAAGGCTGATTACTAGAGGGTCATTACTGCTGGAAGATCAAGAAGCACCATATGGATGCTGTGAAAAGAGTTTGGATGTGAGATGCAAACAAGGGTGAGGTGTGGCTCATGTTTTCAACCTAGAAAGGGATGGCTCTCACCGTCAAACCAAACGGTTTGTAGAACCCGTTGTAGAACGGGTAGAACCCACCTGAGGGTTGTAGAACCCGCCTGAGGCCTGTCTAAACTGGTTGATCCAGAAGCACTTCCGATCCCCTGGGTGAAGGCAGGCCAGTCACTTCCCAGCTGCGTCCTGGAGGTAAACTCAGACACATGCTGTCTCCTCCCTGCCCTGGTTTGTGCAGGAAGCAACTTGGAAACTGAGCTGAGAGCTGCCACCTGCTCAGGGCAAGACCTTGATAGTGCTGCGAGAAGATCAGGATCCTCACTGGATACCAGAGCAAGCATCTACCCCCAGCCTAGACACAGCCTAGATGTGCCAGATGCACTTACCAGGGAATCTGTGTTCCACAGGGAATGGGAAAGATCCTTGAAAAACAATGGGGCGAGGTTCGTTTGTAGCAGCTATCAGTCCAGGGTGACCTAATGGTGCTGCAATTTCACGTACTCACATTCCTCAATTCAAACCTACCATGAGCTAATCGATGATCCATTTGTCTCCCCATTGGATAGCAAATAATAGGGGTTTAGATGCCAAACAGGAATGCAGCACAACAGGGGAAGTTTAAAGCTCCTATTTATTTGGGACTTCCCCATATTGAGATCAGCAGCGATAGGAGGGCCAACTGAGCAGGAAGGATATAATGGGCTATTGCCTGCTCTTTGCAATCAATTCCTTTCAAATCCATGCAGGATGTAGCCTTGTCATCCTGTTTGAAAACATTCTTCGCATGTTGGAGTTTTCAACGCTGAGGAAAGGTGGCCAAAGGGTTTCTTATGGCCAGAGAGATCAAGAGACATATATTTGTGAGGATGAGCGTCACAGAACAACTCTTTATGTCATCCTGCTGGCTCACTGCACCTGTGCAGGCATTGTGTTTTTTAGGAAGTGTTTCAGTTTACAATATCCTGTACTGCTCTGCTGAAGCCAGAGCTATTTACAGCACATGGAAATACTACAACATGAGAGGTGCTGGAATGTACAAGTTCAGTGTTTCTTGATCTTTCTCTAGTGTGGACTATCATGTCTGCACCCACAGAAATTATTTTTTAGCTGTAAGGTGATTCAGTTCGGATCAGTATTTATCTCCCCAGACAATAATTTCCTTTCAGGTAATTCCTGTTGAGAAGCGTAAAACTTTCCTACCTTGCAGAAAAGGAATCGCCCCCCCCCCCCCAACAGTAAGGAATGCACAATAATGTCATTGGCCTATGTTTTGGTAAGTCAATTTGGTGCCCAGGCAGCACTTACTGCTTAGGGCATTTTGCCAAATCTCAGCAGCAAAGTCCCCCAATCTACGCCTAGTTACAAGCACCAACTGCAGAGGGAGAGAAAGGCTGATTACTAGAGCAAATTCCATGGGAATTAATAATGAACTATAAAGCCCATCCATTTGCATGCTGCGTCATTTCAGTAGCTTGCTTTTAATGGCATTTTCCTTTCTACATTTTTATTTCCATTTTACTTTGAAGAGACTTCATATTTCAAAATTAATTTCCCTAAGTGCTAATACTGTTAATTTGTTAATATTGTGATGGTTTATTTATTCTAAATGACAGTGTAATCTAAAATTAGATATAAACAACTCGCTAGTCAATGTGTTCCAAACTTGTAAATCTTAACAGATATATTACCAGGCAGTGGGCTACCTGAAGTCAAAAACCTTCCCTTTGAACTCAAGTGGGCTGTAAGATTACCTCCCCCAGGCAAAATCCCTGGGACCGTTCTATAGCAGGGAGTGGTGGGCATGGTGATTGGCTTTACAAACTAAAACTTTAATTATGAAGTTCACATTTTAAATATGCAACAGTTTTTCAGATGACTTTAAATAGGACCCCTTATTTCTTGTACGTCAGTGTGTGGAGGGATGGGCTCTGTGAGCACCACCAAATACTCTGGAAGCCTTTTAGAGGGGTAGACTTATACTCTGAAAGGCTGCACATCACAAAATAGGTCTTTGACAGAATTAAATTAGAAGGATTTGTCAGCACTTCTTACATTTCACAGCTCAGAAGTGCTATTCCATGCGAGAGAGTATTATTAATCAGCATGCAATTTCTTCAGGATGTCGTGAATCACAGATTGCTGGACATCCTCCTGAACGGCTCCATAAATTCTGACTCATTTTACAAACAAACACGATACAATAGTAAGCAAGGCCAAACTAAGGTAAATGTGAAAACACTGAGACGCAGAAATAAGATCCCATCCTCTGTCTCCTCCTAGCTGATACTTTCCTCCCTTCTCCAAACCACTGGGCATGCTGAGAGCTTTGGCATCCCCTCAGGAAGGATTGCCTCTGCATCTCCATGTGAACATCCTACCAAATCAGAGCCTGAGTAAATCTTTGTTCAGGACTTCAGGAACTGGTTGGCTGTGAGTAAACACTGAGTGAGACAACTTCCTTTCTTGATGGAATTCACTAGGGAATGTATTGAAATATGCTCTGGCATTTTTTTCCAGTGATGCATTTTTAAGTAGTTTTTATTCATCGTTGGACAGGTCATGAGAGAGTCATCACATGACATTTTTCCATGGTGCCAAGGTCTTTTTTTCCGAAAGCTGCGCCTGTACTGCATAAAATATACAACTGCGATTTGCATGTCAGTTAGGAGTCCAGTTAAAAATGGAATGGACCAAGTAGAAAAGTCATCTCTTCAAGGACAGAAATACAAGACAACCATACATGGCTTGAAATAGAAAGCTGAGCACTAACACCCTAGCTTTAAGTTGATGTGGCTCAAACATTAAACTGAAGATTGATGAATCTACCTGAAATATTTTAAGGAACTCAAAGCTAATGGGAAAAAAGGACACTCTCACTTACAAATCAGATCAAAATGGAGAAAAACTAGATACTGAAAGCAATTTCATTTTTTTCTGATTTATAGTCTTGAACAGACACACAGAAGTGAAATACAAAGATTCATGCAATAGATTTTATAAGTATTCAGTCAGGCTGAATAAACAAATGGTTGGAAAGAAGTGTGATTTTCTGTTCTCTGTGCAGTGCTAGCTCAGATCTGGAAAGGTTCATTAGATTCCATATTGACTGCACTTACAGGAGGACTTGAAACAAACTTTTGTACTTTTTTTAATTCTGTCATCAGATTATATCAACTCAAATGTATAATCTGGTTTCGGCTAACACATACCTCTGTGTAGCATTCTGAAAATTTAGACCAAGTAGAAGGAGCTGTTCTTAGAGGTTTCAGAGCACTGGCTGCTGTAAGTAATGAAAATCTTGCAAAAAACCCACTCTGTGTTTCTAGCAAACTGGCAGATGTTACTAACTGACTCTATTTGTTCCACTCCAGCAGTTTTGACAGACATAAGTGTAAGTATTATACACCTATAGTAGACACCATTTTAAAAAAACCAGCAAACGGAAGCCAACATTTAACATACCAAATCCCAAATAAAAACTTCCAAGTGTTGTGGATACTTAAGAAAAACAAATTATGTCATTCAGCAGAAAGACTCTTGATTAAGGTTTGGTACACGTCTTTCTTCACTAAAATATGTATTCCAGTCATGCCAGTTTTCTTAAGAGGTTACTCAGAACCAATAATTTAGCTGAAACAGAATAGGATTTAAAATATTCACTAAGTGACAAAATTCCACTCAAGCATCTGATTCTGGACTAAGCAGCAGGAATTTTGCAGACAAAATTCCTACTGAATTAAGTGGGCGTTTTCTTTTTACACTTGCAATGCACCATTTGCATGTAGTTAATAGCCAGTTCGTAGGCTGTTTACACATTTAAAAAGATTAGTCCATTTGCTTCCCAAATGATCTTCCAGGATGATAACATATGTGTGGCATGGGGAGGAAGAGAGAGAAGGAGTTAATGATGGTTATATTCTTCAGATGAAAGTATTTTTGTCTGGGGAGAAAAAAATGCACTATTTATCACAAGCAAATGAATTTTTCCAGCACTGTCATATTATTACCCTATGCAATTTGATCAGTGTTTTAATCACATATGGTATGTTGTTTGTTTAGCCAGACGTCAGGTCATCTAATTATATAACAGAAGTACTGGTAAAAATATTACTATAATTGATGTGAAGATTATGAAAATTGAAACATGTATAACAGTTATATTTGTTATTAGGTATCCAGACATTTTTCTGACAATGCACTAGGTATCTTATGAAATGGAAGTATGTTTAAAAAAAATTATTTCATATTTTATAATGCATGTATAACCAGACATTTTTCTGACAATGCACTAGGTATCTTATGAAATGGAAGTATGTTTAAAAAAAATTATTTCATATTTTATAATGCTAACCATTTTTAAGCTTTTCCTGTATTTTGTTTCCACTAATACTCTTCAGTCTAAAATAATGCACTACATCTTTCCATATGTAAGAAAAAGGTGTGTCCTGGATTAGCTACTTCCATCTTTCTCAAATTGCAAACTCCTAAAAATTTTCCTTTGCAGATCCATACCTACTGACAATAAGCATTCTTTTCTTACTTACCTTTCATAATTGGGCCTCAGAACTGGGCAACAAGGCCCCACAGACAACAGGCACAAAACTAGTGCTTCAGAAATAAGGTAGCAACTCACTTCACCACTCTGGGGACACTGGGGAACAGAAAAAAAGTCACATCTTTACAATCTTGGGTGGTTTGGTGGTTTCGAGGTTGGTTTATGAGTTGTATAAGTTGTTAACTAGCGAATATTTGTAGGACTGTGGAATAGGTAATTTCATTTTGCATTTTAAATGCAGATTTTGATAGACATAGCTAACCCCATTTGTGAGAAGAAATAAGTCCCCGGTGTTTATAGAGTCTAAGGCAGAAGCAGATTTAGTTCCAATCTACAAGGCAGAGGACAGGAACTGTACACCTATGGCAACATCACGAGACGCAGAAGTGCACCCTGTAGTAAATACATAGTAAAGGCACGTTTCTATGAGGTCCATTTCTTTAAGTGATTCCTGAATGTAATTTCACACCAGCATCATGTCATTGATATTAATAGTTATTCTCAACTTACAGTAAAATCAGCTGAGAATCAATTTCATAGTATTTAATATGCAAAGGCCAACAGAAAAAAAGATGAATCATTCCTTTGTTTCTGGTGGGAACAGGATCTCAGAAATAGATTCGTGGCAAAGAAAATGGGTAATTGTTGATTTTAAGCACATGAACAGCAGAGCTCTGCTCAAGTGTATCTACTCTGACAATGTATTCACTTATGGGACAGACCACGATGTCTGAGGTTATATTTACTGGTTTTGACTGCATGCTCAATTGCACCATTCTGTGGTGTGCTATGGGAAGACTGGTCTGTCCTTTGTGAGTACCTGTACAGATGAGACTTTGTCCCACAAACACAGTAAACTACTTTCAGCTTGGCATGCTGAAGTTTTCTCTCTGCAACCTCTGTTCCAATCAGTGGTAAGGCATGAATCGAGCTTGGAGCACTGATCTGTTCCAGCTGTTGGCATTAATGCAACTTTCATTTTGGAACCAGGAGGTAAATGCAAGACATGAGACATGTTTGAAGGCATTTTGTCAGCGACTTGTTAGCCAGCAGCACGCCTGGCTAACAACATGCAGATACAAGGGCAGCTGATACAGATTTTCTTAACTGTGAAATCCCATGATGCTGATCATGATGTTGTAGTAAGGCTGCAAGCAGAAAGCAATGAAACAACTCTGTCTTAAGACAAGAAGGGGTGTCAGAAGAGCCAGATCTACAAGAAGAGTGAGGTCCCATGAAGCTGTTGGAAGACCTTGCCCCTTTACTTATCCAGAGAAGATGAAACTCCCTGCCTCCCTCTGCAACCTCTTCCTTCCAGCACTAAAAGTTGAAATAGAGCTCTACTTCTAATCTGCATGAAAATTAAGAATGTGACCAAATTTGGCTTGTCATGCTGGATTCACAAAGTGTTTACAAACGAGTTTAATGGAAGTGAAACGGGGAGCAATTGTTTAGCTTAGCAGGAAGGGTATGAGGAATATGGGATGTGCACGTGATATCTGGATTTGGGACTGAAATCTACACTGTTACCTTTGCTTTATCCTCTATGAACTCTCATTTTCATTAAGAGGAGGTCATGTAAAATGACTCTTTCCCAGCCCACATCCACACCCAGCCGACTTCAGCATTTCCTAATTAGGTTATATTCAATCTTTATAATGTGCTTGTAATAGATGTGGTACTGTAGCGTAATCTCAACTGATATTATTCACTTCCCAGGAATGTACAGCTGAAGCTGCTCTGCAGGCTCTGACTTAAAACAATGGGTGTGCAGCTGACAAATAGAGGTAGCTATTTTACATGCCCTGGTCTATTTGGATGCCATTGTTTAAGCGATGTCTGCTGAACAGGTATTCGCATTAGAAAAACAAGCACCATTGCAATTTTCTGATGCGGCAGCTATTTTTGAAACTCATTAAAGCTCGCTAGTGCTTTTCCCATGCAAGGAAAAACTGGAATTGCCTGTTGTAATATTGGCTGGCAGGTATGAATGGTTTCAGCTCACATTTTATAATGAAGAAATGAGCTCATGCTATATAATTGTGGGCTATCCCCAAGAATATTTTTATTCAGCGTTATTGTCAGACTAAATTAAAACCGCCAAAGAGCCCAATTTCTCAAGGTGCCAGGTGCTCTCAACTCCCACAGTAGTTAATAGAAGGGAAGAGTACTCAGCAGTTTCAGAATTAGTCCCTAAATACTGATAGTTATGTGCAAATTTTCATATTAAGCAAGACAACATTTTGCAGAGCGACCATTGTTCTTTCACTCTTCTTTTACATTGTATTTCTTGATAAACATAATATTTATTCTATGTCACATCCATTTATTACATTTATGTGACCTAATGCCATATCCTTTCAAATTACTTTTGTCTTACTTTTCCCCTTCTAAGCTTAAAACAGCCATTAGTGCCCTTTTATTGAAAATTAACTAGTGATGTATTTGAAGCTGCTGGTGATCACAGACAGTGACATTTGTCTGGCACTAGATACTTGTTTGCATGCCCTTCTGCCAAACGCAGTGGAATTTTTGATATCTCCCTGATATCAAAGTGTTTTGTAAGAAAAAGTGCTCTGAGCTTAGAGGACCAAGAGAAAGTAGATGAAAAAAGAAAGGAAAAGCCCTTTGGGCCAATATGTGAATTACCACCTCCTTTCACCAGATGAATCACCACTTCACTTCATGCACTCCTCCAGGCATTACTGGGCAGCTTGGGAAGACTGAGAAGAGGGGGAAGATTGGTACCTGCACAGATCCCTGCTTCCACTTGGCATTTCAGAAAGCAGTAGAAAAAGCAAAAGAAAAGGCAGACTAGCAAAGCCAAATCTTGTGCAGTGTTTGAATATCAAAAAAGTTGAAAGTCAAACATCCATCACCAATATGCACAAGGTCAGGCAAAAGCCTTGCTCAAAATGTGGGTCAATTAGTCCTTCTTTCCTCCCCTGGGTCCAAGGTGTTATCACCACGGAGGATAATGAGTTAAAGCCAAGTAAGGCCCTCTGAAGCTCAGAGGTCATGGAACAAGAGTCAAAAAAAGGGTTCCAAATAGTATAAGTCTTTCAACACTGTTTTCTAGGTATTCTGTTAAATATCCCACTGGGAGACTTCTTTTCGTCAAACCTAACCACATTTCTTTGGACTCTCTTCTCCGACTGATTTCAAATATATAAAGAATTTAGATGAAAAACAGATCTGTATTTTTCATTGTTTAAAAAATGGTAGTAAATGCTCACTTCTCAGAAGAGTGATAGTGATTTTATTTATAGAAATTCCCAAAGTGACAGTTACAGAGATAATCTGTGGCAAACAAGTTGCAGAAGATTTTTTCCCTCAGTCAGATCATATTCTTGCTTTCCCATGCTGTATAATAATTTCCATGAAAAGAAGCTTTGTGATGTAGCTCTTATCATTGTTTTCAATTGGTAAGAGCAAACAGTGAGGAAAAACTATAAAGTTGGGGAAAATAAGAGCCTCCAAATAGGATTGTTATAAAGAAGATGGTCTCACTGTTCACTGAGGTCATTGACAGAAGAAACTAGACTAATTTGCAGCCAAGACAGATGTAAGTTGTGTATCTGTTGGGAAAACAGAAAAAAATACAGATAGTGAAAAAATGGGACTATGGAACTACCTCAGGAGATTGTGGATTTTCCATCAGTGGGTGATCTTAGGAACAGGATAAATGAAGATGTGCGAGAATAGGCCGGGTACGTAGTTGACCCACTTGCCCACAGTGCCACAGGGATCTGGGAGGGACTGTGAAAGGTGGCTGTGAAGACAAATTTGTATGCACTATGTAGCAGCCTGTTTTAGGGAACTCTAAAGGGGCTGTATGTCCCCTGAAAAAGAGCATGGCAATAAGTTGCTTGATCCTCCATCGGGGCACTATGTGAACTGAAGCCCCTTCAGTTCTGACCCTACAGTTCTATAGTAGTCTACAGTATAGTTGCTCTGTTAAGTAACTTATCAGAAATGTAGTATGTTTGGATACGTGTGCATTGGTAATCCACAGGAATTATTAAAAAAGAGCAAATATTTAGACCATTCCTAGGTAGTATTGTTAAACACTATTTAGCAATAGTATTTCAGAATGCAATCTTCAAGAACACAGGAAAACGGACCGTTTTAGAAAAAGATTTTAGTCACATTTTCTTGTTTATGGTAGTATGAAGAGTGTTTACATTAAATTAAACTTAGTTTCCAGAGCTTATGTTTAATCATGCATACTTAAGGATCATGAAACCTTTGTCGAAGTACAGCTTTTAAACACACAATTTCAAAGCATAACAGATTGCTTAACAAACCTCACTAAATTCGTGGTCTAGCTCTAGCTGAAAGACGAGCAAAAGCACCACACACTTGAGTTGGGCATATATAAATAAACCCAATATTATGACAAATAGAAGTTGTCCTGATTCAGCAAAGCACTTAAACAGATACTCAAATTCTCTAGATATCACAGGGACATAAGTATTCAAGTATTTAAGTATTCAAGTATGCCTGCCATTTAGGAATCTTGAGACCATGCTTTAAACTCCAGTTTTAATTCCGGATGAGAGAGGTTTGAAATGACAGGGAGAGGGGGCATAAATCTGTGATCAAAAGAGACTGAACAGCAGAGGATCCCATCACTCTTTCCTGGTGACCAATTCATAACCTGCATGTTAGTAATAATGCTGATACTTTAGCTGCTAAGAAGTTGAAGAAATTCAGAACTGGAACAGAATCCTAGGAACCTTGGTTCTGCCTCTGGCCTCTACATGTCTGTCCTCCAGGGTTTCTCGTAACATGTTTAGCTAGGGAAAGGATCAGCATTTTTTCTGCAGAGAAACTGAAGCTTTGCTCTTAACCATTACTGCCTCAAAACACAAATTGTATTGACATTTTCCTATTAATATGTCTTTTGCTCCTACACAGGAGAACAAACCAGTATCATTATGGCCTATGATGGTACACTTGGGCACAGTACAGGGAAAAGAACATGCTCCTTTTGCTGGGGGCTGCAGCCTGCCTTTGATGACCTTTGTATGGCTAACATGGGACTAGAAAAGGTAATGGCAATGATACAAGACCAGCAAAAATGGCACGG